GCCCTAGTAGTTTGGGCAGGGTAAATGCGGGCTGGGCAGGGCGGGCTTCCATGCCCAGAAAATCAATATACTATATATTTAACTAGTTATTTATGTTCTTCTAGATAATAAAATGTAACTTTATTAAAATGATAACTTGACTTTAATTTAGTTATTAGCAATTGATATATTATGAAACAACATTTTATAGTTTCTAAGAGGAGTAACTATGAAAAACAAAAATGTTATTAGTATACTTTATTAAACTTGATTGCTTTTCTAGTTTTTAAAATTTCTTAACCAAATGTAAATATTTTTTTCCCCATAACTCCTAGATACTCATAAGAGCATGGATCAATTATACAATTGCTAATAATCATAATGTTTGCATTAAAAAAGAGAATGATTATACAAATTGCAGTAACGATAACACGTTTACTTTCAAAATCATTTGAAAATAAATAAGTATAATGAATATGAATGTTAATTTACATAGTGTTTGATTCAGGAGATAAATATAAGACAAATAAAATATATATAAATAAAATTATATATATTTTTGTGGGCAGGGCCAAATGGGCAGGGCAGCATACCGTGCCCGATGCCCAGCCCAGCCCGACAATATGCCCAGCCCGAATATGCCCAATATATCTTTTCGGCCATTTTTTTTAGGACGGGCTGGGCATTTTTTTGCGGGCTTGGGCGGGCATAGCGGGCCACTGGGCTCCTTGAACACCCCTATTAATGTCAGTACTGAGGAGCCGCAAGCTCCATTAATAATATCCCGTGCATGGTGATTTCAAAGGGGTACATAGAACCCACATTTTCTAACAGTTTAGTTGAACTTCTTCAATTTGACACACTTGAAATCTTTATGTTTCATTTCGTGTTCCGTCACTTTGTTTTTCGTTTTTCCCTTCGTTTTGAAAAAATTTAGATAAATGGGTCTCATGAACTTATTAGAGTTAGGACATACCTCCAAGCTCATAGGATATTCACGAAAGTGCTCACAAATCACCCACTAACAAGGTTCTCACATCTTCAGTGAGATTGAAACTCATGATTTTATGGATTGTGAGCCGCTTTCTTACCGACTAATCCAACTCTTGTTGACTCATCACTTCAATGGACCTTGCTTACATGACCGGAGTTAGAAGTTCTGACTAACTCGTTCATAATTGGGCTTGGAGTATACATTGGGCCCGTAACGGTAATAGTCCATTGCCGTATTCAGCACATGGGGCCTCTGGTTGTTGCGCGGGGACTGTGGGTCATTTTGGTTGTCGTTTATTTCCATGGGTCAGGGTCTTGTCAGTGTCGTTTTGTGACGGACCTAAGAATAAAAATTGGAACCCGGTTTTGTGGGCATAGGGCCATCTTGATGTATTCTTCTGTTTGTAGTTATGGGCTGGGTCCATCGTCCTGTCATTTGGAAAAAAAAAAAACTAATAAAATATTAAAAGAGACGTGCCTTTAATTGAAGGCAATCAGCCATCATTTTTTAATTTTATTCCTATAGATTTAACAAATATAGAGAGAGAGACAAAGTAAATAGGTGTGAGAAAATATAAAATATGTTTTTAATACCATTTCTTTAATAAGGACAAATATAAAAATTATCAATTTAATGTATTTTTTGATTTATGGGCTTGAGATAGAGCAGGTGACTTGTACTCATACCCTATCAAAGATATTGCATCCGCATTTTTTTTAGCTAATTGACCAACACCTAAAAGTAATATTTTAATTTTTGAAAAAATAATTAGTTTTGAATAACTTTCTTAACTTACATAAAATATAATTAATTGAATATTATATGGAGTATTTTGGTGTGTTGTTGAATTTCTGAAGCTCAAACTTGGTGCAGTAATTGAAATGGGCCCACCTAAAGAAATGGACAATGTCTCCCTAACTTTCTCATGTGTCTCGTAAATGCCTTTCCACATACCCTTCCCTTCCTTTTCACTTTTCCTTGTTTCTGGTTATTGTTGATTTCCACACTGTCCTCCCCTTTTTTCGTAATCATGGTTTAATTATTCCGGGCCACCATTCACCACTTTATATTTCCTTTTTTTCCCCCTCCCGTAATATCTAATATAAATAAATTCACAGGAAAAAAACATATTTTAAATCAACAGATAAAGCTTCATTTTCCTTATCCTCAGATATTACCTCTGCCCTAATTATAAGATATCATCTATAAATTATAAATAAAATCTTATAATTAAAACCGAAAGTAGTATTTAACAACAGTGAAACGAAAGTTTGTTGGCTAGCTTTTATAGGTACGTAACTCACATAATTTTTTGTCAAAAAAATAAACGCTTCTTCGGGGAAAAAAATACAAACGCTCCTTGGTTCACATATAGTAATTCAATTTAAATAATGGAAGTTTAAAAATTAAAAGAAGCGAGACATTATAAGCCGTGGTGTTTCACAGTTGGATTCTATTTTTTTTTTGGGGGGGGGGGGAATGGAAGCGTGGGGGGGCGTAAATGAAAGACTCAGCAAAGAGGACATTCTCGTGACTCACATTAATTGAGGACTCGTCCCCGTCCTTGGTCCTTGCCCCCCCTTCTCAGCAAATCTACGGAACAGAAACTTTATTCTTTTTCTTTTTCTTTATTTATTTATTTATTTATTATTTGTTAGTTTCTGACTTCAACACATACATGCACAGTACAGGCCCAAGCCGGCGACGTCGGCGATTACTTTTATTTATTTATCCTCACATGAATTTAGAACTGCTGTTTATAGCTATTTTTAGAATATAATTAAAAGTATATTTGGCTGTTTCTGCCATGAATGAGTCCAGTATCTGTGTAAAAATAGTACATATATATGGCTGCCTACGTATTTTTAACTTAGTCGCAGCAGGGAACCCCACGAACAATTAGTCATCATCAATCAATTACTTAATGATTACTTGTATGATTGTGACTGATTAAAAAAAATGGAATACAATGAGGTTGCAGGGCATATATACGGAGATTATGGTGTCTTTCATAAATTTTATTTAGATTAAAATATATATTTAGTCTTTTAGTTTTTGTATAAAATTTTAATTTGGTCACTTATTTTTAAAATGTATACTTTTAGTCATTTAATCCTAAATTTTTTTTAAAACATGATAACGTTAAGATCTTAAATATTGATATAATATTTTTAAATATTAACATATTAAGTTTAATTTTCAAAACATCTATAGTTGTTACAAAAAATTATCATTAAAGCCTAATGATTTTAGGATTAAAAGATTAAATGTATGTTTTTTAAAGTTAAGGGAACAAATTAAAACTTTGTACAAAGTTAACAGATCAAATGTATACTTTGGTTTTTTATTTATTTATGGCTTACTAATTATGAGTTTAAAAGATGTTGTGACCTTTATTATCAGCAGCTCCTAATTTTATCATAATAAATGATAATGATAATACCAGCTTGAGTTGGGTGATAATGTACGTTGTTGTTCAAGTGGGGACATCAGGCTGGTGAATAGTTTTGAACCACATGCACTTACAAAATCTGAGGAGTATATATCTTCTAGACACATAATCCGATTAAACGTGTATGAAATGACTAATTATAAATTTGTAAAAGTAGCTTAAGTGGGATTAAACTCGCGATATCCGAATCTGTTAGGCTATCGTGTTATACATAATTAGGTAATTAGAAAATATGAATGGGAAATGAGAATGTTGGCTTGTGGGTGAGGCATTGGAGGTGCAGTGGGGTTTGGTGGTTTGTTGAAAATTAACTTCCAAACTTCAAAAATAATCTAAGAAACAATAATGCTCTGGAAATTGAATCAAATGGATTAGTTTCACCTGTGAGCATTGCAAAAGTCCAATGCATTAAAAAAAAAATCAACTTAATATACATCAAGAGCTGAAAAATTAATAAATAATCACTGCAAGTTAATATCTGCTCTTTTTATATGTTAATTGATGATTTGTAAAAAAGAAAATTGCAATCAATCACACCAATTTAACCAGCGCAACTTCCATTTATGCTGTAAAGTTTGAAAATTTTATCACGTTGATATTGATCAGTCATGAGTGTGCCAAAAAGAAATAATTTGTTATTCTTTTGACAGCTATAATTACTCAATTCAAGTTCATTCAATTGAGAAATATTGATAATTGTAACTGTGATATTATCTTCAGTTCTAATTATAAGATCTAGTTGATTAATTTGAGAAGATTAAGAAAATAAGTTAAGTTAGTTATTTGTAATAAACAGGTACTTTTTTTCTTAAAATATTATTGCTAATCAAGTGTATTGACTAGAACTACCATTATTAAAATGAACTTGAATTATATTAAGTACCGGAGATAGTATAATGGTATTACGAAAAGGTTACAATTTTTTTTCTCACGTAATAAATAAATGTCCTTATTTTAACACCATCAAATTTTATTTTAATGGTTGATATTCTTTTTTTTGAATTCTCCTATATAAATCTAAAATCACTTATAAATATATGTAAGTCGAGATAAAACTCTTTTCACATACTTATTTTGTATTCCGTAAATTTTAATTAAAAAATTACTTAGTAATATACTACTATAATAATACTTTCAATCTTTAATATACGAGCTAGTTGACTAAATTTAAGTAGATTAAGAAAATTAATTATGTTAGTTATTTATAATAAATAGATGTTATTTTTTTAAAAAAGTTTTTAACAATAAAGTGTATTGGTTAGAACTATCATTATTATAAAGACTACCTAAAAAAATAGATAAGTTTGATAAATAAATAAATTAAAATTTTATATTTAAAATTAAAATAAAAATCAAATAAGTTTTTATATTTATGATTTAAATTAGTCGGGAGAGCGGTAGCAGGGTAGCTTCCGTTCAGGCTTCAGAGGCATTCGAGATTTCGAAATTTAAAAATGAAAAACGAGGATTTGGCCGTATCGCCGGGCTGTATGTTCCAACTTGGATTGGAAGATTAATTATTATTATTGTCCGTTTGAAAATATGGTGAAGGATAAGAGATCCAAATGCCATTTGCATATGCTGCTGTTTGTTGATACATCTTCTCTCTTCTTTCTCAATCTTCCATTTTCTTTTGCTGTAAAAGCAAAATCAGCTGCCCTTTGCATTTATAATCCTCTCGTGACCTTCTCTCTCCCTTTTCCCTCACGCTTCCCTTGCTTCCTCTTTCTTCTCGTTTCCCTCGTTCTATCGATTTGGACTGCGATTGACCTCCCGTCACCCCCAGATCTCTTTCTTCCTCTGGTTGCTTACTACTGTTTCAGACACTGTTATTGTTGACATTGCTCTCCTTGCCGCTCTAAAGGTGAGATTTTTACCCATTCTTCTTCTTCTTCTTCTGCAGTCTTGACATTGTTTTCCCGATCCTCTGGGTTTCAGTTGAGTCGCTTCCTAGTCTTCTCGAGGATGTTCAAAACGCATTCTCTGATTAAAGCCTAATGCTGCGACTGGGTGTCCCCGTGTTAATGGTCAAGTTCATTGAAGCGTGTTGCCTACTGAAGACCTCCTAGTATTGTCGATCTTGTGTTTGCCAGTCTAATATTTTCGCTCTTGGATTTCTGGGCTTATGTCCGCTGATCATATATATTTTAGTTTATGATTGGGTCGGAGTCCCGTGGGTTCTCTATGGGGGTCAGGCTAGCTTTCTTCAGTTAAATTCTTTCTTATTTGGTTGACGGTTCATAGGCTTCTGTCCTCCCTAGCAAGTCATCTATGTTTTAAAATGTCGGATTTCCCGTAGTTAAAAGCTGCTGCGACTTTTCTGCCTCTCATTTTTTGGGCTTGGGTTTTGTTGTTTTTCTTCTTCTTTATTTACTTATATTTTTCAGTTTTTATCACGCAGGGGATTAAATAAGAGCTAAATTTGTTATTGAGGCAGACTAAAATTCAGTCCATCATCTGAATTCAGCAAAATGACCATTGATATGCCATACCCCATGGCCCAAAGTATGAGGACAAACAGACCTTCCTTTAGTTCCAGTAATGGCTACGATGATACCCCTGTTCACAATCATGCTGGAGTGAGCAATGCTGATGACTATGACAGTGATGGCTCCACCTTTGCACCACCGTAAGTATCATTCCCTCTTCTGAAGATATATTGGAATTTATATAAACAATGATGATTATTATAGCTGTGTTAGAGTATTTTTTTTTCCTGTAAAAAGAATGAAACGTATGTTATCGGGATTGTAGGATATTAGAATCCTGTTCACCTTTATTCTCTATTTGTGTAGAACAATATATGATGAAGTTAAAAAAAGAAAAAAAAGAAGCTATATTCTATGGCCTGACTGGGTACTATATTTGACTGGTTCCTGTATGAGCTCAATTTCAGTCTTGCATTCTGGTTGTATTGACACCTACGTTTATAACTGTATTTTTCTGCTTTTGCCCTTTGAATTGTGGGGCTAGTTTTATTTATTACAAGTGAGGATGAATTTTCCGATTGCTCATATGCAACCTTCTCCAGTATCTGACTTAGTATTTGATTTTATTTTTCTTGGTTGCACTTGCAGCACGCCTTCAACCCTAACAATGGCTATTCCAGCAGAATTAGCCGGAGCTGTGCCCTTGATGGATAGATTCCAGGTAGGAAAACATATATGTTAATTCAGTTATGTATTATATTTCACCACTATCTTCGTGGTTTGGTCATCTTTTTTCATTTAACGTCACTAAGCTTTTCTTAACCTTTTTTTGTTACAGGTAGAGGGGTTTATAAGATTAATGCAGAAACAAATCAATTCTGCTGGGAAACGTGGATTTTTTTCTAAGAGATCTGTAGGCCCTCAAATTAGAGAGAAGTTTACATTTGAGGACATGTTGTGTTTCCAAAAGGTAATAAAATACCAGTTTTAGTAGAGTATGCTATCAGAATTCCTTTACACATGAGGTGCTAATTCACGATTTTTTTTAAAAATAAATTTTTAAGGATCCTATACCAACATCATTGCTTAAGATGAACGGTGATATGGTAAGCCGGGCAACTAAACTATTTCAGATCATTTTGAAGTATATGGGAGTAGATTCACCAGAACGAGTAAATCCAATAAGTTTAGATGAAAGGGTTGAGCTTGTAGGCAAACTATACAAGCACAGTTTGAAGCGTTCAGAACTCCGAGATGAACTTTTTGTTCAAATATCAAAACAAACCAGAAATAACCCTGAGAGGTATGCGTATGTTCTATTTATGTTGAGCTTCATGTTGGTTAGACTTGTGGTTATTGAAGCTGTAATAACTTGGCTATATGCACATGACGCTAAACCCTTTCTTATCTCAAAATAGGCAATACTTGATTAAAGCATGGGAGCTGATGTATTTATGCGCATCCTCCATGCCACCTAGTAAAGACATTGGAGGATATTTGTCTGAATATGTTCATAATGTGGCCCACAATGTAACCACTGATGCTGAAATCCAAGCCCTTGCACTAAATACATTAAATGCTCTTAAGCGTTCTGTCAAAGCTGGTCCTAGACATATTATGCCTGGACGTGAGGAAATTGAAGCTCTGTTAACTGGGAGAAAGCTTACAACTATAGTGTTCTTCTTGGATGAAACTTTCGAAGAAATCACATATGACATGGCAACAACAGTTGCTGATGCTGTTGAGGTACTTTGAAACTTTTTTTTTTTTTTTGCTTGGAATTGTTTGCATTTATGATTTTTAATTTTACAAAATTTTATGCAATATTCAAAAATTCAAGAAGGAAAAATAAAAAAATGGGAAGATTATGCATGACGATAGCAAAGTAATCAGGAAAGGTTTGAAGAATATATCGTCATTTAAAGAATCTGTTCAATCCAGTAAAGAAAATCAATATTCAGTCATTTTCAAATTTATTCATATTAAGGCCTCTAGTGTTGTTAACAAAGACAATCAAATTTATTTGTACTAAATGCTGGACTTTTCTTGGAATTCATTTGCTTTTGTTTGAATTGTTTTAAACTCTCAATCAGATGTTGAAATTTTTGCATTTTAAAAACGTATTTTTATTCTCTAATGCAACATTTGCTTCAGGAACTTGCGGGGATCATCAAATTGTCAACATACAATAGCTTTACTCTGTTTGAATGCCGTAAAGTTGTTACTGGGTCCAAATCACCGGATTCTGGAAATGGTATGTCTCTTTCACATCACACTTGTTGATTGTTATACTTTTTAACTAACTAGAACGGATTGTCTAATTGCTCTTATATTGGCTCTCAGAGGAGTACATTGGGTTGGATGACAACAAATATATTGGAGACCTCTTAGCAGAATTTAGGGCAGCAAAAGATCGAAGTAAGGGAGAAATCTTGCAATGTAAACTTATATTTAAGAAAAGGCTATTTCGAGAATCAGATGAAGCTGTGGCAGATCCCATGTTTGTACAACTATGCTATGTGCAAGTATGTCTTTTCATTGAAACTCTCAGAATTTTGTAAATGTATTTGGAAGTTGATAGTTTGCTATGAAAATCACCACAATAAACTTATATTGCAATCAATAAAGCATATCTAGTTTTTGCACCAAACATTTACCTTCTAATTCTATATTTGTTGATTCTTGTCAATTAATGTTACAGTTACAACATGATTATATCTTGGGTAATTATCCTGTTGGAAGAGATGATGCTGCCCAACTGTCTTCATTGCAAATCCTGGCTGAAATTGGATTTGTTAGAGCACCTGAGTCTTGCACGTAAGTGCCTGTAAAACGTAAATATCTTGCAACAATATTCAGGTTTACTTGATTTATTTCAGCATAACACCTTTTACCAATAATCTTTGCCTTATTGAGTAAGCTTGACACTTTTTAAAATGTAAACTCCTGAGTCTGCTTGCCTAAGATTTATGATTATGTATGTCTCAGAGATTGGGATTCACTTTTGGAGAGGTTTCTACCAAGACAGATTGCAATTACTCGAGCTAAACGGGAATGGGAGCTGGACATTCTTTCTCGCTATCATTCATCGGTATGATAGTAGGACATTGCTTAACTCCATCACTTTTTTGCTTAGATCTGATTAGTATTTAATAGCTCAGATCTGTAACTCGTGTTATTAACTTGTTGTTAATCTCTTTATGGTGCATGTAACACTATTACCCATTTTCTACTCGTGAATCACACTGAAATAGAGAAATTAATTTTTATTTTAGCATGCTCCTTTACATGCATAAATAGTATACTGTTTAATTTATTGTTCTTTGATACGTTTTTCATAGGAACATCTGACAAAAGATGAGGCAAGGCAACAGTTCCTCCGCATATTGAGAGCACTTCCTTATGGGAATTCCGTTTTCTTTCATGTTCGCAAAATTGATGATCCAATTGGACTTCTACCTGGAAAAATAATACTGGGCATTAACAAGAGAGGGGTAAAGTTGGATATGTATACAATTTTTATGTGTTTGATATTTAAGTGTGCCTTTTCATTTATGGTTTTATTGTTTAATTGCAGGTTCATTTTTTCCGTCCTGTTCCAAAGGAATACCTTCACTCCGCTGAGTTAAGAGACATAATGCAGTTTGGAAGTAGCAATACTGCAGTATTTTTCAAAATGCGAGTTGCAGGTGTTCTACACATATTTCAGTTTGAAACCAAGCAGGTATATATACCTTCATTGAGTGAGCACTTAGTTTTGTACTTGATTAACATTCAACATGTGTATCACTACTTCTTGCCTCACTGACAATTTCTTTCTCTTTATAGGGGGAAGAAATTTGTGTAGCTCTTCAGACACATATCAATGATGTAATGTTGCGCCGATATTCCAAAGCACGGTCTGCTGCTGGTGGTTCTGTAAATGGAGATATCAGCAACAATTTTAAGAGTCCTACTTCAGAAATATATGAAAGACGTGTTCAAGATCTGTCAAAAGCTGTTGAAGAATCTCAAAGAAATGTTGATAAAGTGAGTCTAAGCTTCTAGTATCTACAATAGGATCTTAAGCTGGTTGGACAACAATCATCTAAATGAGTTGTTATGCCTAGTCACTTAAGAGTACATTTCTTTTGGATCATTGCATGGTAAAAGGAAACTCTAGGGGTCAACCGTTATATTCACTTTTGCTTTTCACTGCATGGCTGAGGAACCAAAGTTGATCTTTGGCATTAGCTGTGTTGGGGAAGAATGATGAAGCCTCTTCTTGGTTAAACTGCTATATGGACATGATCTATAATGTGTATCAATCTTTGACAAAAGCACGTTTAGCATAAGGCATGATACTTAAAATTTGTCTCCAATAAATTAGGCATAACTTTGTTTTCATTCCAATTAAGGTGTCTTGTGTAAGTTGTCAGCTAAATGTTTTAATATTTTAAACTATGCTGAATAGTTGCGGGAAGAATTGTGGGAAAAACAAAAGCAGGAAGAGAAAATGCAAGGAGAATTGGAGGGCTTGAAGGAATCCTTAAATGCAGATAAACGAAGTCTTGAGGAAGTTACCTGTGAGTGTGATAGGCTTAGATCAATATGCAATGAAAAGGATAAGGCTATTCAGGTAAATTTCTCAGCTTCATATAACTCATCCAATTTCACTTTTGCAAATATTTTTTGTCTTACGGATTATGAATCTACTAGGCTGCAATTATAGAGAAAAGAAATATGGAAGCAAGATTGACCAAGTTGAATAACCTGGTGCTAGAGAACACAAAAAAGGAGTCTGTTGAAGCAAATAACCAGGTAAGATACTTTTGAAGGTGTTGTTATTTATGTGTAAGATAATCTCTGGTTAATAGGACAGCTTTCACTTTGATAAATAGGATTTGCATAAGCTTGAGAATGAGTTAAAAGTTCATAAAGATGAGCTGCTTGTAGCAGAAGAAACTGTTACAAGATTGACAAATGAAAAATTGATTTTGGCACGGAAGCTATCAGAGCTGGAGAAGGGGAATGCTGATGAGGTAATATAAAACATTTAAACAATTTATATGATTTAAAACCCAATAATTTTACATAATCGTCAATCGATATTCAAGGTGTTTGCTGAAATGCAGATTAATGTTCTTGAACGAAGATTTGAGCAAGAACGCAAAGCCTTGAAGTCTCAAGTGAATGACCTGGAAAAAAAGATAGAAGGATTTAGACGAGAATTAGCTGCTGCTGAATCCACTCTATCAGCCAAGGATGCTGAGTTGGTTGCATTGCAGAATAATTTAAGGGAACTGGAAGAACTAAGAGAAATGAAAGAGGTTTTGACACTCGCTCATTTATTTTCAATATTCCAATCACGTGACAACACACTTATAGCGCCCACACACCAAGTATTTTTATGTTTCTGTTTTCTTTGTTTAGGACATTGATAGGAAGAATGAACAAACAGCTGCCATATTAAGGATGCAAGGGGCTCAATTAGCAGAAATGGAAGCGCTTTATAAAGAAGAGCAGGTTTTGCGGAAACGCTATTTCAACACAATAGAAGGTGGGCTATGAAAAGTTTATCTACATGACAGTGTATTAATATTCTTATAGCATTTTTACAACATCAAAGCTTGGTTTTTCTTTCAGATATGAAAGGTAAGATCAGAGTTTACTGCCGTCGAAGGCCTCTTAGTGATAAAGAGATCAATGAGAAAGAGAGAGATGTCCTGACCAGCATAGATGAGTTTACTATTGAACATCCATGGAAGGATGATAAACCAAAGCAATTTGTGTATGATCGTGTATTTGATGATAATGCCACCCAAGAAGATGTATTCGAGGATACTAGGGTAAGTTATATCAGCTTAAAGATTATATCCCTTTCTTGCCCAAGATAATTTGTGCAAAATTTATTGGTAATGCTTTCATTTTGGTGATTTTCCATGCAGTATTTGGTACAGTCTGCTGTAGATGCGTATAATGTCTGCATATTTGCATATGGACAGACTGGGTCTGGGAAGACATATACAATCTATGGAACTGAAAACAACCCTGGGCTCACCCCACGTGCCACCGCTGAACTGTTCAAAATTTTGAGGAGAGATAGCAACAAATATTCTTTTTCTTTAAAGGTAATAGTTTCAAAAAGATGGTTTATGCAACTTTATTGCTTAATTTTGTAATGTATATAGTCAATAAAGCAGAAATGGTCAGGTAATTAATTATAGCTTGATTTCTTGTGTGTAAAGCTGAAAACCTTTGCAAAATGCGGCATTATCTTACAAAGACTTCTTATGTATCAATATTACAGGCATACATGGTGGAATTATATCAAGATACACTTGTAGATCTTCTGTTACCTAAGAATGCAAAGCGTTTAAAATTAGATATCAAGAAGGATTCAAAGGTGATTATCTCTACCCAGCCACTGTGAATTTTTGCCTATAGAGCCATTATAGTATTATTATATAGAAATGCAAAATACTTAATATTTGTAATGACAATTCAAAATTGATATAATTCTTATGCTGTTATTTTGATTTCAGAGATAAAACATTACTAATCTTAGTGTTTTCTTTCCCATGTTATTTTGTTTTCTTTTTTTCTGACAATTATGATGAAGTGATTTGCAGGTCTTTACGTGGTCTAATGTTATATTGTTTGTTTTGTTTTATTTTAGGGCATGGTGGTTGTGGAAAATGTGACAGTATTGCCAATTTCAAACATGGAGGAATTGAATAGCATAATACAACGAGGATCTGAACGACGGCATACATCTGGAACTCAGATGAACGAAGAAAGTTCAAGATCTCATCTCATATTGTCAGTTGTAATTGAAAGTACCAACCTCCAAACTCAATCAATGGCAAGAGGAAAGGTATCTTAAGTTTTTCTTTGGAATTAACTGTAATTTATGCCTGTCTATGATGGAACTTGAGCTTGAGCAGGGTTGATGCTTAATTACATTGTATATTTGATTCAATATGCAGTTAAGCTTTGTAGATCTTGCTGGTTCAGAAAGAGTAAAAAAATCTGGTTCCACTGGTAATCAACTTAAAGAAGCTCAAAGTATAAATAAATCATTATCAGCTCTTGGGGATGTCATCAGTGCTTTATCTTCCGGTGGTCAACACACTCCTTACAGGAATCACAAGTTGACAATGCTAATGAGTGATTCACTAGGGGGTAATGCTAAAACTCTCATGTTCGTGAATGTATCCCCAGCAGAATCAAACTTGGATGAGACACACAATTCTCTCATGTATGTTCCTTGATCTTTCTTGTGTGATTTTTTTTTTTTTTTTTGGGTTCTTGGACTTCGAGTTTTAGAAGTTTTGTTTTATACTTTCGGGATATTCAGGTATGCTTCGCGAGTGAGATCGATTGTGAATGATCCGAGCAAAAATGTTTCGTCAAAAGAGGTGGCTCGGTTGAAAAAGCTGGTTGCATACTGGAAGGAGCAGGCAGGCAGAAGAGGCGATGAAGAAGAGTTGGAGGAAATTCAAGAGGAAAGACCAATGAAAGAGAGGTCAGATGGCCGGCATTCCATGTAGGGACTCGGATCCTCTCTAGGGAGGCTCCTGGGAAACAAACAAGAACCAACCCTGCAAGAAGTGTTTTGGTAGTCGACAATGACATTGAAATTTGCCTTCTCTGTATTGTTCTGTGCAATGTTGTTATTGCTTTCCAAAATACGCAGGTAGGATAGGCTCTATGATGCTTGTATATATATTTCTAATCCTTCTTGTCTCATTGCATATATGAATGTATACGCTATTCTACTTAAATATGATCACTTTCTTTTGCCCAAGCTTGCAAAATCATCTTTTTTAAAAAATAAAAAAAAAAAGGGGGGAAGTGAGACCGACAGCATTCCTGACACCGGAATTTAGGATTTAAGGTGACGCATGGTGCAATGTAAAATTTTTTTTTTTGGGTAGGCATGGATATTTTCTTATTGAAAATAATACTGTTTGAGATATTGTGGGACACTAAATGGGAAGCAGCTTGTCTCCTCAACCCTTCCCCTCCTCTACTCCCTTCATCACCATCAGATTACATTGGATATTTAATATTTTATAAAAATATTATTATAATTTTACTTAAACTGTTATACTTTGATAACAATTTATAACTATAGTGAAAAAAAAATATGAAAGACATCTATTTTAAAATAATATAGTTGTGACAGATCATTTTTTTAGCAGTTCAAATTCTTGTATGTATTTTTTTAGTAAGATTATAATAATATTTTTATAAAATGTTCAATTTGGATCACTAGAATTTAATCTAATAATGATGAAAGGAGTAAAGGAAGGGTAGAGCCGCAGAGGAGGGAAAGGGTAGAAGAGACAAGTTGCTTCTCCCATTATTAATGGCTAAGACATTCATTTCTTATGACAAATAAATAGAGTTTCAATTAGTCCAGATTTTTTTTGCCAACTGGAAAGTCTATAATTGAAAAGGCAACATTAGGGGTTGCATAATTGTTTCTATTTCTTTTGAATTATACAAAGTACTTGATTAGAAAGAGTCTCTCCGTTGCTCAAGTTGAGCTCTAGAGAATTAGATCAAATCAGAATTATTAATTGCCAACTTGGTTCAACTGATTCTAGAAGCAACTTCAAATAGAATATAAACACTAGAACCATAAACAGAATGACATTTTTCATCAGCATTTCAGACATAATAGTAGTATCCATTTCTTTTATGAAGAAAAGAATCTATATACTAAAATGTTACAAAGTGTCATAAAATCCCAAATAATTCGAGACAACCTATCCATAAGAGGAAATGATCAATCAGCACACAAGACTGTAAGTGAGCAAAAAATTAGATCCTCCACATTTATACATTTATATATCCCAAGAGGATGACACAAAAAAATACAGTTGTGTATAAATTTATGTCTCTATCATTATGCTCATAATCTCTTTCCAAATGTATCACACAAACATTCACTTTGATGAATGTAGAGGATCTGAATCTGTATGAACAGGTGTGTTTGCAGTAGTAGAAGATGGTGTTGTGAGATCACTAATAAAGCTTCCAAAATCCACAGCTGGCCAAATAAAAGCAGGCTTACTTGGAGGCACATAAGGCACAGGGACAGCCCCACTTATAATTTGCATTATAGTTTGCATCTTTGGCCTCTCACCAGCAATAGGATGAGAACATGCTAACCCTAATTTCAATATTTTCTCTGCTTCTTCAATCTCATACTCATTCCCAAGCCCTTTATCCACAGCCTCAAGAATCCTACCTTCACCATACAAATACCAAACCCAATCCACCAGTAACTGAAACCCTTCCTTCTTTGTCCAGGGCCTCTCACCACACACTACTTCTAGCAGAACTGCTCCAAAACTGAACACATCTGATTGTCGTGTTGCCTTCCCTGTGTGGAAGCACTCTGGCGCGATGTACCCCATTGTGCCATGGATTCCTTCAACCTCAGCGTATGAGGTTTTCTCATGCTCAATGGCTCTAGCAAGGCCAAAGTCGCCAAGGCGAGCATTAAAGTCAGAGTCAAGCATGATATTGCTGGCTTTGAGATCTCTATGAACTACTTTTTGATCATACTCATTATGGAGGTAGTTAAGTGCTGAGGCTACGCCTGAGATGATTTTGTACCGTAGGTTCCAACTTAGAGGTCTTGTAATTTTTCCATCCTCAAAGAAAAGGTGATTGTCCAGGCTGCCATTCGGCATGAACTCATATACCAAAATTAACACTCCATTCTTGTGGCACCAACCTGCACCATATTATCAATTATCAAGTTATGCTCTAAGCTTTCACATCTAAATAATCTTTTTTCATCCCTTAACTCTGCAGAAATTGATTCATCTGTGTGTACAAAAATAATACAAAAGACTGTGACGTACGTTCCCTATCTTTAACTGCACTTATCATCTCTCCTATGTCTTTCAAATAAAAATAAATTCAAAATATCTCAAAAAAAAAAAAAAAAAACATTCAAAGGGGATATATTTATTTATTTTTAAGTAAGCTACACAAACCGTCATTAGAATTTAGATGTATTTATAGTTTATAATGAGGCCAGGGTTAATTATTTCCCGAAAGGTAATATTTTAAAAAACTTAACCCGCCTTCTAAGTATTTTAGGGAGGAAAATTAGTTAGGTGTACAAATTTAAAATTAAAGTATTAACTCAGTCATATTTAATAAAATTATATCTTAAAATCATGCAATGACGGAAGAATAACTTATTTATCTAATTTCTATTCTTTAATTCATTTTCTTGTTCTCTTATTCCATTCTGATTGAAAAGCACCGAGCTCGAGCTGTACTTTCAATTATGAAATGGGCATCGAATTCTTTTGCAAGGAATCCTTCTTTAGTAGTTAGATCAATGTCTGGGAAAAAAAGAAAGGACATTTTATAGTATAAATTAAAAAAAGGAAAAGGAGAAAGCTTTGAAATTAACAAGGGACCAAACAAAAAGTACGTTATCGCCAGCACTAATAAATGATGGCAACAACTTAACAAGAAATAAACTATAATCATTGACCTCGATGGGCACATGTTAATTAATTTTTAAATTAATCTAATTTAATTATTGAGAGTAGATATGCATGCATTATTAGAATATAGAAGATGCTGCCATAGAAATTTGCAATATTTGTGATTTTTAAAGATCATGGACTCCTACTTCCTAGCCTTTTTATATTTTATATTTTGGAGTTAACGTTGAAGGAAATCTCATTCACGGAGACAAGAGTGAACTTTGAGGACATGACCACATGGTTTTTTTTATTTTATTTAACCATATGACCAGAATAAAAGATTGCTTTTTGTTGGTTTCCAGCCAGCTTAATTCCGTGTTTAGATCACTTGAAGTTTACATTTGGTGAACTGGATGAAATTATTACATGCTTTTCATGGTTTCCTGGTGCGTGGTGTGTGTATAAAATAAATAAAACCCTAAATCATTTCAGGCAATTCTCATCAATCTTAGCGAATCCTCAAATGAAAATTGTACTTTCAAAATGAAGACATTGCTCCTATGAAAGAAAGAACAAGACCAAAATAGACACTAGGTTATGGTTTGGACCAGGCATGGCCAAAAATTTTCAACCTTATTTTTTAACTTCTAGCATTGAATTGTCAGGGTGAAATATGAATAAAGAGAAGGAAGAAATTTTCCATTGAATAAAGTTCAAAATGGTTGAACAATATATATAAATATAAAGGATTTGCAGACCTAAATTCTTGTTCATTTATACCAATTTAGATCTAAAGCACTCAGCTAGTTGGACGCAATACTTTTTTTTTTTTTGAAAAAAAAATCCAACAAACATGTGTTCAAGATTTTCTTCAACCTCCAAAACCAAATACCTATTCATTCAGTTATTGACTATAGCATATCCTAATCTAACCCTAAATTTGGTCTGGTGTCTGAATTATAGACAGAATAGAACTTGGCGACATCATTAAGGATACGGTTTAAATGTGCTGATCTGATTTGATATATATTCCTAGTTTCAGACAGATTCATGCTCAGACGAGGATTCAATCATTCAACGAATAAAAAGCAATTAGATAAAGATAGAATTTGCATGAAAATGAAGTTACCTAGTAACCGAACAAGATGCTTATGACGAAGACGATTGATAATGGTGAGTTCAGCCAAGAAATCATCTTTGCATTTCATCTTATCTCTGCAGAATTTCTTCACTGCCACTTCCAAGTTATTCTCTTTCTGCAAAATCCCTCTGTACACCATCCCATACCCTCCTTCTCCGAGCTTGTTCTTCTCACTGAAATTATTCGTCGCCTTCTTCAATTCCTTGAATGAGTACTCTCTCGGCGTTCCCGGCAAGCTCTTCAACGTCCCCAGTATCTGTTCATCGTCCAACCTTCTTCTTCTCTTCTTTTTATAAACGCAATACACTGACCCACCAATCCCCACCAGGATCAAAGCCGTCAATGGCACCCCAATACCCAAACCCATCTTCAAAGATCGCGACTTGTTCTTGTTTTCTGAAAGAATCTCCACTGTCAGGTTCCATCTCAGAACACAGTTTAGCTGGTAGGTTGTTCCTGTTGAGGCAGAGAACCCGAAGTAAGAGCTCTGTTTCACGATGTTTTTGAGATCTAGATCTGAAGTTAACACTGGTTCTTCAGGTTTCGATACTATAGGTGCGTTTCTGTCAGGTTGTTCTTTGATGAATACGTTAATTTCCTTGCTTGAACCGTTGTAGTCTATCCAGATTACATAGTATTTGGCACCCTTTGGAGCGATCTCCATTCCGTATTGAGACAGGGAGACAGTGGTTTTTGATTTGACGCTGTTGATGTTAAGTCCGATGTGGTTGTCGTCGGGGTCGAAGTCTTGCTTGACGGTGTCTAGTTCGACTGCAACGATGTGGTTGTCGGGATTGCCGTCGGTGGTGGAGTTGGTGAGGCCGAGGTATTGGCCATGGCTGTTTCGGGGAATGTCAAGAGATGAGGCAATGAAGAAGGCGACTCCTTCGCCGGGAGTGGCGTTGTTGACGCGATAGACGTTGATGAGGAATGAACTGTTGAAGGAAGCAACTTTTCCGGTGTCTTCCCAGAGGTTGAAGGGTTTCCGGAAAAGGATTCGGCCGTAGGTGTCAGTGAGGTTGACGTTGCCGGCGGTGTCGGGAGTTACTTGGAGGGCTCCGAAGTTGATCGACGCCGGAGGAATGACTTTGAAGGTTGTGTAGTAAGAGACGTCGAAGGGGCCGAAGACGTATCGGTCAGTTTTCATGTTCTGGGATTGGGACTTGGCCGCCGGGAAGAGAAGTTGCAGAAAGCATATGAAGGCGGCGACGGTGGCAGAGACGGGGATGCATGGTCGGCGATTCATGTCAAGCTTTTGGCGGCGTGGTGGCTGATGATGATGATGCCTGCTGCTGCATTGGAGGGAAAGCATTCCCTAACAGCTAATACGGATATTTAATGGATTCGAAGATCAAAGCTTTGAAGGTTTTGTGAGATATTGAGTTTGGTTAGCTCATACCACTCTCTTTCGTTTTGTCTCTGCTTTTCCCGTTGCTGGTTTTCTCTACGAAACCGAGAAAACGCAGAGCACAGCTACTCTTGACAGCGGTGTGCACCGTTCCTTTCGATTTTGTTTATCGAGATGGCTTTATTTTAATACTACCTCCTATCCTAATTATAAGATCCAGTTGACTAATTTGAGGGGATTAAGGAAGTAAGTTAGGTTAGTTATTTGTAATAAATAAGTGTTGTCATTCCTAAAATATCCTTATTAATTAAGTGTATTGGCTAGAACTATCATTATTAGAAGGATTATCTTGGAAAAAAATGCATAAATATGAGAGACAAAATGGATTGGGGTCTTATAATTAGAACCAAATTAAAAATCAAACGGGGTCTTATATTAAGGACCGGAGGTAGTAATATCTTTTCCGGCCACTAGCTTCTCATTGTAATTTTTATAAAAGATGGTAAATTTACTCTAAAAATTTTCATTCGAAAAATGGTGCACGCCTTATAGGTTCAATGGTAAATTTTGTAGATAAAACAAAAATTTATCTGTGTTATTTTTGTAATAATCATAATTGCCAAGTGATGTGAAGATTAAAGTTTGAATTTTGATAATGGAAAAATGAATATAAAATACTTGTTGAATTTTAAAATAATAAATAGGTGATGCTCACTATTTTTACAAAGGTATTGACTATTTTTATAAAAATTTTGACATTCTAAAATCACTTATTTATTATTTTAAAATTTAATAGGTTTTTTTTTTGTTATTTTTCTTTTATCTTTGTGCATCCACATCGAATTGCTTTTTCATTTGAATGGGTGTGATGTGTGTATATGCATATATATGGATGTAGACATTAACAATTAGAATTACATAATTTGTAGAGGCACTTGACACTAATAAAAAATTCTTAAAATTGGATACGGAGTTGGGCAAGAGAGAGGATTTATCTCCAATAAAATATTTATGTAATTGTGTGTACTGTTACAGGAGACGTATGATCAACAAAAATTCTCATTGGATTTTTAAAAAAAAAAGATAAAAGAAAATGGGAAGATCATGTGCATGAAGCTATACTTTTTTAATTTAAGTGGTTTTTTAATGAGCTGAACTTTGTCCATATTATATTAAAAAAATAAATGCCTGTTTTACATGATATATAATACTCCTCCGGTCCTAATTATAAGACCCAATTGACTTATTTGAGGAGATTAAGGAAGTAAGTTAAGTTGGTTATTTATAATAAATAAGTGTTGTTATTCCTAAAATATCTTTGCTAATTAAGTATATTGGCTAAAACTATCATTATTAGAAGGATTATCTTGGAAAAAAATACATAAATATAAGAGAGAAAATGGATTGGGTCTTATAATTAGGACCAAATAAAAAGTCAAAATGGGTCTTATAATAAGAACCGGAGGAGTACTATGATTCTGCTTCGTAATAAAAAAAAAGAGAAAAAGAAAAAGATGCTTTTAATATAAAATTATGGTTAAAGATGGAATGGACTATGAGTGATGATGAACACGGTACTGCCAACCCTAATGTGCTATGTCCGTAACAACCCCCTTCAACTTTTTAATATGCATTCCATTTTTTAATGGCCAACTCGCAATTAATTGTATACTTTCTTATCTTTATTCAAACTTTTCTGGATCCCTCTCTGAGGTTCAGAATGACTAGATAAAATCATATTAGGCTCAATTTAGTATCAGAAAAATGAAAGGAAGAATTTTACTGAGTTTGATTTTTTAAAAAATTAAAGAAGTACAGTTAAAAAATTTTTAATTAATTTTTGTTATGCTTTTATTTTATCTTACATATTTTATTATTAAAATTTTATAATTCCATTTTTTTTAATTTTTCATATTGAGCTCTATAATAATAAAGAGTCCAAGTCTCGGCCCTACTGTTATCAAACTCACGAGTTGACTCTCCGAGTTTAACATTTTCACGTTTTCAGCTAATAAAATCGTATCGATTCGTTCTTAAACTCGTGATAACTGTAAACTTAGTTAAACTTACGAGTTCATTTACTGAATTTATCATTTTTACGTTTTTTAGCTTATAAAATGGTGTCAACTTTATCCCTATTTAATATATGCACCGTTCAAGAAATAAACTTTATCCCTAAATTTTTGAATTTGATTATGTTTAGTAACTTTATATATGATTTATTTTTTATGAAAATTTCTTTGTTGAATATGATATATTATGAACATTGATAGATATAATTTTAATTATTTAAATTTAAAATATATTTAAATAAAATTTTCTCATTTTTTATATATTGATTATTTGATTATATACCTTTAATATCAGTTTATTAATAAAAATAAACTCTTATGATTCACGATTCGAATTTATAATTCAAGTTTATATTATTATTACAAGTTTATTTAAACTCACGAGTTTAATAACCTTGCTCGCCCTCTACTTGACCCAAGATTGGGCCACAACCAAATGTTGATTAATTGAATTGGGTCGGGCGTATTGTTCAATTTTGTCGAGTTCGGCTGGTATTATTAATTATTATGTTCAAATTAATATATATATATATATATATATGAACTGAAAAAAAATAGAGAAAATAAAAGGGAAAATCCCATATAAATACCTATTGAATTCTAAAATCCCAAATAAGTCACTCTAACTTCACAAAAGACAAATAAGCCTACAGGTATTAAATCGGAATTTGCAAATTTTGACAAATTACCTCCATGCCCTTTTTCTCATTTCCTTATCCTCTCTCTCTTCGTCGTCTTTTTTACGGCAGAGACACAGCTTGTATGGGAAATTAATGCCGTGGCTGCATCATTCTTTCACTGGGTTTTGTTAGACATTGGAGACGCAGTTGAAATATTTTAGGATAGAGAAGAGAGATCGCCATTGATTTTGGGAGCACACCATTATACAACGGATCCTCTTCTTCTTCAAATAGCGACCACTGTGAAACTTTGTTGCTTATATTTATGAATCAAAAGAAGCCATGGGAACCAAAATATAACAACTATGAGTCATCTTCTTGAGAGAGAGAGAGAAGACACGGCTAGATCTTCTTTTTCCTCAATCATGGTAGCACTAAATATAGTTACTGTCATAGAACATTCTGGTTTTTGGTAAATGTCATTAGTGCAGTTGTCAAACCCATTATAAATGTTGTCAATCACATTATTTTATAATAGATTGACTTTTATAGTCCGAATGACAAGAAAATATTATAGATATTAGTTTAATCTTACTGCTACCTTGTCATTTGAATATATTTAATGTAACTTCTGTCAGAGGCTTGTTGTTTTTTCGTAAATATTGTCATGTTAGTGGTCAATTCCATTACACATGTAGTAAATTATGAAAGTTATTGATATTATGTTTATTATGATGTTTTTTTAGTGTACTTGTATACTACCTTGTCAATACATTTTGACCCTCGTTTAATTCCCCAAAAGGCTAGACTTAAAACAGGTTACAAAAATTGCTATGTATGTAGTAATTTTCATTACGCAAGTTATCATTCCCATTACATGTTTAATAAAGTTGTCTGCAAATGAACTAAAATTGGATTGCAAATAATCAAGTTACAAGTCACTTGATGGAAATGATAACTTGCATTATGCAAGTTGTCATTTTCGTTACTTGTTTTGTAAAATAATATGTAAATGACTTAAAACAGGTTGCATAAAAGCATTATGAGACTTTTAACTTGATTATTTGCAATCCAATTTTAGTTCATTTGCAGGCAACTTTATTAAATATGTAATAGGAATGATAACTTGCATAATGAAAATTACTACATGCATAGCAATTTTTGCAACCTGTTTTAAGCCTAGCCTTTGGGGGAATTAAACGAGGGTCAAAATGTATTGACAATGTATTATACAAATACACTAGAAAAACATCATAATAAACATAATATCAATAACTTTCATAATTTACTACATGTGTAATGGAATTGACCACTAAAATGACAATATTTACGAAAAAAAACAATGAGCCTATGACAGAAGTTGCATTAAATATATTCAAATGACAAGGTAGCATTAAGATTAAACTAATATCTATAATATTTTCTTGTCATTCAGACTACAAAAGTCAATCTATTATAAAATAATGTGATTGACAACATTTATAATGGGTTTGACAACTGCACTAATGATATTTACCAAAAACCAGAATGTTCTATGACAGTAACTATATTTAGTGCTACCATGACTGAGGAAAAAGAAGATCTAGTCGTGTTTTCTCTCTCTCTCTCAAGAAGATGACTCATAGTTGTTATATTTTGGTTCCCATGGCTTCTTTTGATTCATAAATATAAGCAACAAAGTTTCACAGTGGTCGCTATTTGAAGAAGAAGAGGATCCGTTGTATAATGGTGTGCTCCCAAAATCAATGGCGATCTCTCTTCTCTATCCTAAAATATTTCAATTGCGTCTCCAATGTCTAACAAAACCCAGTAAAAGAATGATGCAGCCACGGCATTAATTTCCCATACAAGCTGTGTCTCTACCGTAAAAAAGACGACGAAGAGAGAGAGGATAAGGAAATGAGAAAAAGGGCACAGAGGTAATTTGTCAAAATTTGCAAATTCCGATTTAATACCTGTAGGCTTATTTGTCTTTTGTGAAGTTAGAGTGCCTTATTTGGGATTTTAGAATTCAATAGGTATTTATATGGGATTTTCCCAAAATAAAAATACCAACAATTCAATGATGAGTACATATTCCATGCACAATCATACTGTCTTGTCAGTGGTTTCGACAGTGCGAAAGCCTGGTCAAAAAAAAAAAAAAACAACAACGACGGTGCGAAAGTACGCTATCCAATTTAATTTATCACTGTCACATTTTTTGTCAATCTGTTTTTAAAAAGATATATCGATGAATAAATTGAAAAAAAAATCCAATTTAAGCATTTTGGCATGCATAGAATTTTTTCTTTTGTTTTGACAGATTATTGGTTATGAGAACACACGCACACACAGATATATTCACGTTCTTTTGATTAAGATATCTGGGAATTGAG